GGGGGGGGGAGCCAGCCGTGCCGCCCTAGAGCTTAGGTCAGGGGGGCCTCCCCACGCTGTCTTTTCAGCCGGCCTTGACCTGTCCCCGAAGTGCCCCCCGCCCCTCCCAACCAGACTTTCATCTGCCCCACCTCTCTTGGGCTGGGCAAAAGTGACCCGATTCACTCGAGAGGGACCACAGGAGACAACTGGTCTGGACCAGAACGGGGGGCCCAGGTCCTGGGCCAAGGCCAGACCAGGCGGGGGCCTCCCCACGCTGTCTTTTCAGCCGGCCTTGACCTGTCCCCGAAGTGCCCCCCGCCCCTCCCAACCAGACTTTCATCTGCCCCACCTCTCTTGGGCTGGGCAAAAGTGACCCGATTCACTCGAGAGGGACCACAGGAGACAACTGGTCTGGACCAGAACGGGGGGCCCAGGTCCTGGGCCAAGGCCAGACCAGGCCGGCTGAGGAAGGGCCTTGGGGGGGCTGCACCCCGTGCTGAGGAGGGAGCAGAGCTCTCAGCAGAAACAGCAGCTTTCCCTCCCCCTGCCGCCCGAGCCTGCAACAAGACCCGTGTCTTGTCCCTGCCCCACAACCCCCGGAAGCCAGGCCGTGGGACTCTTAGGCCCCTGCAATGAGGAGCCAGGGGCGGGGTGGGGAGAGGCATTGCAGCCCGGAGACTAGGGTGAGGGGCATGCCCTGTGACAGGGTCGGAAAGGACACTATGAAAGAGACTTTGGGCTGCTTGGTGTTAACCAACCCGGAGGGGGAAACTGAGGCACAGAAGCACATCCAGACCGGGGGGGGGGGGGGGGGGGGGGCTTGGGTGGACATCTGCCAATCACCGCTGTTTCTGGTCATGAGCAGGAGGGCTGTCCCTCCTTGCTCCCACCCCTCCCTGGCAATGCCAGCTGGATACCCGCTCCCCAGCAGCTCATGGCCTCTGAATGTAGCCAGGCTGCTCGGTGAACGGGCCAGCCTTCTGTCTGGGCATGAGTCGGGACCCCAGGATCAGCCCCCACCCCCCAGCTCCAGCCATGTCTCCCTTTGCCCCCTGGAAAGGCCGAGTGAGCCCTCGCTGTGCGTGCCAGGCCAGCTGTGAGTGACCACGTAGCTGCAAGCCTCTGGCACCCACAAGGCATATACCAGACCCAAACTGCAGCCCCAGGGAGCCAGCTGATGCTGAATGAGGAAGCTGGGCCGGAGCAGCCGTGGTGGGCGCGTCGCTGATAAGAAGTGACAAGTGGTTAGTTAGGTTGCTGCTCCGTGCACGCTCCCCCACTCCCAGCCAGGCGGTTCCCAGGCACAGACAGGCAGGCCACACCGAGTTTATACCCAGCCCTGAGTCCTCCTCTGCTCAGCAGGAGCCGGGAGAGGCTGGTGCAAAGGGATCTGTGGGCAGCCCCAGGTGCTTCCCAAGCCGGCTCGGTGCCTGGGGGGGTGGTGCCAGTCATGCGCAGCCTGTGTGCCCCCCACTACCCCCCATCAGCACAGATGCAGGGACTCCTGCAGAACACAGGGCTGGAATCAGCTGAGCTCTGCAATCCCACCGCCCCCACCAGCACAGATGCAGCACCCCTCCCCCGCAGCCAGCATTGCTCCACACTGCCCACAGGTGTGGGCCTGCATGTTGTGGAGACTCCAGTGCCCATGGGGGGGGTGACCATCCCCTTCCCACACCACAGCAGCTCGCCAGATGCCTGCAAGCGGCTGTTGCAACGCACCCAGCTGCTAGCTCTGTTGTAACACAAGTGCCTTCCTGTGTGAATGGAGGTCCAGCTCCTTCCTGTTGTTGCAGGAGATGGGAGGGATTTCTCATCTGGCCGGCTGCAGAGAGCCCGGCTGTCGGAAGCCGCCTGCTGCTGAACACGGGGGTTCCACCGACACCAGCCCTGCCCCGCCGGCCAACCCACCGAGGCTCCCGGCTCCGCTGCTGAGCACGGAGCTGCCCTGCACGGCCGGGCTTCGGTGGCCCCCGGCGCGCCCCCGTTCCCTGCCCAAGGCTTGCGGCTCTTTGCTCCCCTGCGGACGGACAGGCTTTGAGTTCAGACCAGGGGATCTCAGGGCCTCTTCTAGCCGCTGTGGTGTCCATCGTGCGCTCACGGCCAGGCCTTGCACTCCAACACACTTTCGACACCAGGGCCGAGGTTTTCACGGCCGGAGACCCAAAGCCAGGCTCTGTGGTCAATGTTTAGGTCCCTCCAGAAGAGTCTGAGCACCCAGCTGGTGCTTTGAGGCACACGGCGCTTTGGGGTTTGCTGAAGAGCCTGGGGCAGGGGTGGGGAACCTAAGGCCTGGGGGTGGGATGTGGCCCCTGGATTGCCTGGATCTGGCCCCTTAGCACTGGGGAGCCCATGCTGGTGCTCCAGCCCCCTGCCTCTCCACCTCGGGGCTGAAGCCCACAAAATCTATTAGCCTGGGCCCTCCTACGCTCTGGTGTGCGAGGGGAATGTGTGGGGGGTGTCTCCCCGGTCGGGGCCATGTCTGTGGGGGGGATTTTTTTGTTTCTCACTTGTGTGCAGCCCCCAACTGATTTTTCCGTGGGTCAGCAGCCCTCCCATCCCAAAAAAGGTTCCTCACCCTTGGCCTAGGGGAATCAGGCACCTTCACCATTTTCAACCTTGACTAACTCCAGAGAGCCTCAGCGTTTGGGCCCCCCTCTGGAGAGCTTTTAAAGGGGGTCCATTTTTCAGAGGACACCCTCCAATCGCTAATCACATGTGAAAGTCTCAGTCCTCTGCGAATCCCAGCCAATTGGTATACGCAGACGCAGCAATGCAGCCACCTCTGGGGTGGAGCATGGCAGCCATGCACAACAAAGACAGGACACAGGGGTACTGGCTCAGGCAAGCAGGGAGCAGAACAGGGAGGAGAATCCAGAGGCTTGCTGAACGCCCTGCCTCTCCTGACTCAGCACTGCATGAAGTGCCCTTTTCCCAGGGTAGCTCTGCACATTTCCTTTGAAGTCTCTGGGCTGCCGTATTCACACACTGCACAGTCACCTGCGGAACTCCTTGCCAGAGGATGTTGTGAAGGCCAAGACTATAACAGGGGTCAAAACCAGAACTAGATACATTCGTGGAGGTTAGGTTCATCAATACTTATTAGCCAGGATGGGCAAGGATAGTGTCCCCAGCCTGTTTGTCAGAAGCTGGGAATGGATGATGGATGGGATCACTTGATTCCCTGTTCTGTTCATTCCCTCTGGAGCATAAATGCTGTGAGTGGGGACTCAGCCTGAACCTTTGGCTACCCCTTTAGGCAGGAGGGCTGCGGGACGGTCTCACAATCCTCGCTGAGAGCTCCCTAGGCATCATCAGCCCTGAGCCGCTTTGCACCCGCATTTGCCACAGAGGTCTTTAAAACACACCCCTAAAAATAAGCAGCAGGCATGCAAAAAATAGCACCTGGTTTGGTGCCGAAAATCCCCCAGCGCCTCGTGCTCTGGGCCCAGAGGGGGGATCGGCTCTGCAGGGAAGGCGGCAGTGGCCAGAATCAGGCTGGGGGAGGGGACCCCTGTAGCGCTGGCCACGAGGGTTATTTTGAAGCTGGAAATGTGGTAAGTGCTAGCAGCGTCCTCCGGCTGATCAGCAGGTTCCTCTCCCCACACGCCCGAAAACAGATTCAGGGCCTTGGGTCGTCGCTGCAGCAAACCGCCACCACGCTACGCACCCCTGTGCCCACCCAGCAGCCTCGGGGGGCAGGAGAGGGGTGAATGAGCTGGGGGTTGCAGCCCCTGGTTCAGGGCATCGTCCCTTTGGATGTCACAAGGCCTAGGCCATGTGGGTTCCCAGAGCCCAGTGCATCTGGAAAAGGAGTTTAGCATAGATGGATGGAACCAGCAGGACTAGTGGGCAGGGCCAGTCTCACCCAGGCTGTCCTGCCCATGCGTCTCTCCACCCTGCCCTGGAAGTGCCACCTCTAGGGATACGCAGAAAGCTTGGTCTCTGTGCCCCTTCACTCCACGGCCTCTTGGCTCTGGCTGCCAGCGAGGAGCCCGATTTGGGCACATGGAGATTTGGGCTCGTCTAGCCGAATTGTTCTGAGATCTCTGACTTGTTCCAGAGGCTTCGCCCATCCCTTATCCCTGAACGCCCTGCCTCTCCTGACTCAGCACTGCATGACGTTCCCTTTTCCCAGGGTAGCTCTGCGCATTTCCTTTGAAGTCTCTGGGCTGCTGTATTCACACACTGCACAGTCACCTGCGGAACTCCTTGCCAGAGGATGTTGTGAAGGCCAAGACTATAACAGGGTTCAAAACCAGAACTAGATACATTCGTGGAGGTTAGGTTCATCAATACTTATTAGCCAGGATGGGCAAGGATGGTGTCCCCAGCCTGTTTGTCAGAAGCTGGGAATGGATGATGGATGGGATCACTTGATTTCCTGTTCTGTTCATTCCCTCTGGGGCACCTGGCACTGGCCACTGTCCACAGACAGGACACCGGGCTGGATGGACCTTTGGTCTGACCCAGTCTGGCTGTTCTTATATCCCACTCACGGGCTCCCTTTGGAAGCCCGGCTCTGCCTGCATGCTGGACCGCGCCCTGCGTGAGTGAGTGAGAAGCAGCAGCTCCTGCGTGAACAGCAGTGGTCTGGCCGTGACCCCTCCGCTCTAAGATGCGCTGATGCTCTCGGGCTGAGCCCTGGTTTTCTCCAGCTTTGAGGGTGTTTCCCCCAGAGCATGCGAATCGGGGGCCGGGCTGGTGTCAGTCCACATGGCTCCATGGTACCCAGCGGCCGTTTACACCAGCTGGGGCTCTGGCTCGGAATGGGGCGTGACATCGGGAGCAGGCTGTGGCCAGACAAGGCACCGTGGGGCCCGCCTTACCCCACCACCGGCAGAATGAGCTGCCGGACTAGTCTCCCAGTGCGTTGGGTCTGTCACCGCTCAGCACAGGGGCAGGAAGGGACCTACGGAAGCGTAACTCTCACGCCACCCCTAACTGTTCCCTGGGATGTGCCAGGTACACGCACACCCCTACAGCCTGCAAGGGCATTGGGTCCCCCTGCTACAACGTGAGGTTGAAAACTTTTCTCAGGGACAAGGCACTGACGCCCGAGCTGCCGTGTCGCAGGGCAATTCCCAGGTGCCTGGGTTGCAAAGGGCCTGCTGCTGCTTTTGGAGCGCGTGTGGTTAGTAACTGTTTGCATGACAGCAGCCATCTAGAGGGCCCAGCTGTATCCAGGAGGAAGAATGGCCCGGGGATTAGGGTGCCAGCTGGTATTCGAGGGACCTGGGTTTGGTTCCCAGCTTAATTGCTAATCTTGGGCAAGTTGCTCTGTGCCTCATTTTCCCTAGCTGCATAATGGCACACAGGGTGTGTAGTCAAGCCAAATATGTTAAAGATGATGGGGTACCCCTCTTCGTTCATGACTGAGGTGCAGATAAAGAGCTGCTGCAAGCCATATACCCATAATAAGCCCCCTGACAATTGAATAGTTAAGAACAGGATGGGAAACTGAGGCATGGAGCAGTCCAGTGACTTGCCCAAGGGAAGAGGAGCTGGGTGCCTGATACCCAGTGCTGGGGGAGGGGGCTGTCACATTGCCTCTGCTGATCCTGCTCCCCCTCCACCAGCTGTAACCCAGGGATGGCTCCCTTCAAGCCAGTGGGATCCGGTCAGGCCGCTTCGTCTCCCCCATCGACTCTGTTAGTGTTTGGAACAAACCGACCCCTCTGGGCAAGGGGAGGAGGGCGGTGGCTCAGGCACCCCACAGCTGCTCCTGGCCTTTCATGAGCTCCTAGTGCGGGTGGGGGAGCGTCTGCTCAGAGCTCTCCTTTCCCGCAGGTGGGAGCTGTTTAGCTAAGCCATGGATGCTCCTTCAGCCATCAGCAGGGCCTGGAGTTACGGGGGAAGGGAGGATGTGGGGGTCGCAAACTGGCCTTCTCTTTCCCGTGCCCATTCTAATCTCCCCTGCTGGGAGCAGAGGAGCCCTGCAGGGCTGTGTGAGGGAACCTCTCCCCTTCACCCACTTCTCCCCAAAAAGCCCTTTCCAGAGTTTTCCCTGGGCTGCCCTGCAAGGGGCAGTGAGTTTGGAGCAACCCAAAGGGGCAGGGAAGGGACAGGCCCATGGGGCTCATGGGGACGGGGTCTGCAGCTCCCACAGTGCCACGGGGCACCTGCAGAAAAACAGGGGGAGAGGGGAGCCATGCACAGAGAGCCCGGCCATGCACGCCCCTGGGGCGGGTTTCTTACTGCTTAGGCCGTAAGGTCCTTGGGGCAGGGTTCTTCTTGGTGTGCTGTGTCTTGTGCAGCATCTTGTCCCATGATGGACACCGTAATGTATCTAACAGGAGCTATCATAATACAGCTAATAGCAATCAAAATATACAGCGCCTCGCTCAGTGGGGGAGGGACTACCATAATACACGTAATAGAAATAAAACAGTACAGTGCCTGGCACAGAGCAGGCCTCGTGCTCCTAACCATCACAGCAATAATGTGCCCATAGTAAAAGTCCCTGCTCCAAACCACTGACCAGCTAATAGATAAGACAGACGAAGAGCAGGAGGGGAAACTGAGGCACAGAGCAGCGGCATGACTTGCCCGAGGTCACACCGCCAGCCAAGCAGAGACTAGGACCCAGGTGTCCTGACACCCAATGCGGCAGGGTCTTGCCGCCTCTGATGGTGTCCAACAGCCAGATTCCCCTCGTAGCTCGGGAGTGGCTCCCTTCAAGGGCGCAGGCTGCCCCTCTGAGTCTGGCGTTGGGCTATAGGACCCATTTTGATCCATGGGGAGTCACTGGGCCAGCTCAAAGAGATCTGCATGCCTTAGTTTGGAGGCTGGGATTGCTAACCCTGTGGTCCTTGGAGTATCTATGTCAGCATGTCCAAGATTGGACGTTGCTGGACGTGACCTGTTGGCTGCAGGGACGCTCTGGGCTGCAGACTTGGTGTTTTCTCCAGCGTCCAGATGCCAGCACCGTGGGCCGCGACTGTCTAAGCAGAGCTGGGCCTGGGTATGGAGAATGCCAGGCTGGTTCTGGCACTGGAGGGAGCATTGGGGATCATTCAGCAGGTGATGCGAGGCAGGTACTGAACTGCTGGAAGTTCTTGGAGAGAGCTGAACAAAAAGGGCTCCATGGGGGGGGGGAAAGGAGGGCAGAACTTGTCCTCATTAGACCCCAGTGGTGTCTCCTGCCAAGGTGTGAAGCTGGTTAGATCTGAGGCTGGATAACCGCCTACCTTCCCACCACTGACCTAACCAAGGAAGCTTCAAGGGGTAGCCAAGTTGGTCTGTACAGGTTAAACTTCAGAAGCGGTCTGCGCCCACGAAAGCTCATGATACCATCTACATAAAGTGCTACCGGACCGTCTGTTGTTTTTTTCTTACAGAGGAAGTCCTTTTGCCTGTCATCTCCAGAGATAACCTTCACCAGGCTGCTAATACGGCACAGCCGCCCTCCACCCCAGAGATGGTTGCAGTGCAGAGACCATCGGAGACCGCCTTCATGTGTCCTGGCTTTATATGCGTGTCACTTTAGTGATCTCGATAGGAGAAAAATGACACGGATTGAAACCAATGGAAGCTGGCAACCTTGTATGTGAGTAACAGTCCACAAAACGTCTCGTGGGCCACACATGGACCCCAGTGGGTCCTCGGGCCGCAGGTTGTCCACTGTTGCTTTATATCCAGATCCTCAAAGGCGTTTCAGCTTCTGACTTTTGTTGAAATCTAGGCCATAGCGTTCATAACGCTGGGCAGAATGTGTCTATGGAAGTGTGTGTGTGTGTGTTGCCAAATTGTATTCAAAACAAATCCAGAAACTATCTAAACATTTTGATTCAAGGGGACTTTGGGAATCATCCTTCAATTTTATAGCTGAAAAGGCTCCAAAATCCAAAGGAAACGTTTCATTTCAGGCCCAGATGGAACTGACGGCTTTTGGAGTCCTCTCTCTGCGGAACATCTCCCACACTTTGGGGTCGATTCGGCCTTTTTCAAAAATCTTTTGGACTCGCCAGTGAAAGGAGAGATCTGTGATCCCCTCAGCTCTCCACAGGACAAGCACCACACCAGGGCAAGCATCTGCTAGATGTTGCTCCTTGCTCTTGTGCCTCAAAACTGCCCCAGTGGTGCATCCGTTAGCAAGGAGTGCCAGGGGCAGTCTCCTATCTCATTCAAACCAGGCTCTCCCAAGAAGTCAGGTCTGTGGGTGGGGCACTGGGTCGGGAGTTTTGGGGGTCACTGACCTGCAGGGAA